TTCCACACGCCACGAAAGTGTGGAGTGGGACACTACCTCGCCCCTCCCTCACCCCACCCATCCACCATCCCCCACTCTTCTACTCAAAAGATGGTTTTGTGATTTTTTTTTTCTTCTTTTCTTTTTTTTCTGTGACTTTCCATGCCGTCGTTCTTGTCCAGGTTTAAAACATGAACAAACTGTCCACCGTGTGTGTTTAATTCGTCGTATAATCTTTCATTTTGAATATATATGAACACGACGGCAAAAAAAAAATCACGCTTCCCATGACGTCATTCAGAATGAGTAGCAGCCCACTCTTGCAGCAAAATAACCCGTAAACATGCAAAAAACTTCAACCCTTCTTCCTGTTCTTTCTTTCCTTCTCCTCTCTCTCTCTCCTCCCCTCTCTATCTCTCCTCTCTCTCTTCTCTCTCTCTCTCCTCTCTCTCTCTCTCTCTCTCTCTCTCTCTTCTCCTCTCTCTCTCTCAATATCTTCGAAATATTTTGTTGAAACTCCATAAGAAACCGAAATCCAGAGGAATGTCCGTTTTTTCGCAAAAATAAATAAAGAAAATCACATTAAATAAATAATTAATAATAAAGATAAAGTAAATAAATACAATAAAAAATAAAATGAAAAAAGTAAAAAAAATCCTTTATTGCCCCTTCGGGGGTGGGGTGGGGTGAGGGGTGCGGGGATGGGGGGGTGAGCACATAACACAGATGAATGAGTGGTCAACCACCGCGCTGATTTTGGGGTTTCTTTCGCCTGTGGATTTTGGAACACTCTTCCCTCTCATTCTCTATCCATTTTCGCTCATGTTCTCCGACTGTCATTTCTCTTTTTTAAAACTTCCTCTGCCAGTCGTCTTCCTTTATGTTTCCCTGTACATCTCCCTTTCTTTCTTCCTTTCTCTCTTTTATCTCTCTGTCTGTCACCACTATATCTATATATATCCTATCTTTATATATCCTCTCTTTTCTACACACACCACACAACACACACACCACACGCACACAACGACACACACACAACACACATATATATATATATATATATATATAGTATATATATATGTGTGTGTGTTGTGTGTGTGTGGTGTGTGTGTGTGGTGTGTGTGTGTGTGTGTGTGTGGTGTGTGGTGAGTGAGTGAGTGAGTGAGTGAGTGAGTGAGTGTATGTGTGTGTGTGTGTTGTGTGTGGTGTGTGTGTGTGTGTGTGTGTGTGTGTGTGTGTGGTGTGTGTGTGTGTGGTGTGTGAGTGGTGATGAGTGATGAGTGAGTGAGTGAGTGAGTGAGTGAGTTGTGTGTGTGTGTGTGTGTGTGTGTCTCTCTCTCTCTTCCTCTCTCTCCTCCTCGTCTCTCCTCTCTCTCTCTCTCTCTCTCTCTCTCTCTCTCTCGTCTCTCCTCTTCTCTCTTCTCTCTCTCCCTAACTCTCTCTCTCCCTGACCTTCCTTCGCCTCAACTAATTCTTATCACTGTTATTGCAAGGCTTGCAGGGTTCAACTGGCAATCTTCCGAACACCATTCTTATACTTTACGCCGTCTTGTGCAAAAACTGCCAGCACGGCCCTTCTTCCGAAAACCAAAACAGACGAATGACACGGCAGTCCCGTGGGCTTCAGAGAGACAACGGAAGGGCACAAGGCGGCGGGCAAAAAAAAAAAAAAAAAAAAAAAAAGAAAGAAAAAGAAGAAAAAAGAAGAAAAAAAAAAAACAAAAACGATTTTTCTCGGCGAACGTGCATGATAGATCATCGAAGATAACACAGGGAAAATAAACACCCGAAACAAGAACAGAGAGAGAGAGAGAGAGAGCGATAGTTGTGTGAGAAAGGGGAGAGGAGAGGGCGATAACGTGAAGAGTAGAGGAGAGAGAGAGAGAGGCGATAACTGTGTGTGTGAGAAAAGGGGGGAAGAGAGAGAGAGCGATAAACGTGTGTGTGAAGAGAAAGGAAGAGAGAGAAGAGAGAGAGAGAGAGAGAGAGAGAGAGAGAGAAGAGAGAAGAGAGAGAGAGAGAGAGAGAGAGAGGAGACTTGAGATGTAGGAGAGAGTCAGAGAGAGAAGAAGAAAAGAAAGAAGAGAAAGAAAAGAAAGAGAAAGGAGAAGAAAGAGAAAGAGAGAGAAAGGAAAGACAGTTCAAAAAGGACATCGACCGGGCAAAACACTACAAACTACCTACACGAACTCTAACAAGTGACAGACTTAACCTCAACCACCACTAAAAGCCAACCTATTACCTATATTTGAACTAACCTTAAGGAGCCTACAACCCTAACAAACGAATAGATAAAACCCCGATAAGAATTAAAATCAACCGTAACCAAGCCTAAACCTACACCTAACCTAACCTCACACAGACATAAGCACACACCTATGAACCATAACCTAAGCTGAACCTAACCTAACCATAACCAGATAAAAGCGAGACGATGAAGAACCTAGGAACTAACTAAACCACTAACGCAGATAGAAGAGAGCGATAGAGAAGACGATAACGACTGAGAGAGAAGAGGCATAGAACCGAAAAGACAGAGTAAAACAGAGGAGACCGAGACACGTAAACGCTAAAGCAAAGCATAGAGTAGAAGCCAGGAGAGAACGAGCAGTATGAACCTAAACGACTAGAACCTTAAGAAGACGAGATAGAGAACAAAGACAGGAAACTAAGCGTGGCGCTAGCGACCTAGCACCTAACTACACCTAACCTAACCTAACTAACTAGACCACACCTAAGCCTCAACCTAACCCTAACCTAACCTAACCTAACCTAACCGTACCTAACCTAACGACCTAACCTGAAACCTGACACCTACCTAACCCGTAACCTAAACCTAACACCTCAACCTACCAGAGCGAACTAAGACCTGTAACCGATAAAAGCCTAAACGAAATACCTACTACCCTTATATGAGCGCCATAAACCTAACCTACATAGAGCATGGTCTATCTTATCGCTCACACGCACAGGTAGACAACAACATGTCTTCCAGGAACGGTCGAAACCGAGAGGGAATATCTACCCATGACGTCTACTATACTTTTCTCTTCTTTTTCTATTTTTTTTGTGTGTAATGTATCGTTCTCTCTCTCTCTCCCTCTCTCTCTCTCCTCCCTCCTCCTCGACCTTTCCTCTCTTCTCTCCCTCTCTCTCTCTCTCTCTCTCTGTCAACATCGTTATCACTAAATCATCTTTATTGATCATTATTATCATCATCATCCGGTTGTTTTTGTTGTTGTTACAATCATTTCCAATTTGCGAGAAAAAAAAATAGCTTCCGTTGTCCGATTGTCTGTGAGAGATTTCGATTCCGAAACGAGCCCATATGAATAATCTTATTTATAGAGAGTTACGACGCAAAATGGTTCTATGATTCCCATCTTCGGGCGCCCATAAAACAACTACTAACCGCCCACGACGTCCCACAGCCAAGAAAAAGCTTTCCACCCACTCACGAAAGGAAGCGCCCGCCAGTTCACAATGCAATCTCGAACAAAAGCAAATAAAGCAAAATAGGGGGGCTTAAAAAGAACCCTTTGGGTGTCAACCCCTTTCTCCCCCACCCCTACCCCCTTCGCTCCCCTCTGCATCTCTTCCCCCGCCCCTTTCCTAGCCTCCCAATCCCCCTCCCCCATACTCTCCTCCCTCCCCCCTTCCTTCTCCGCCTCCTACCACACCCCTAACCCCCTCGCTCCCTCCCTCTTCCCCCCCTTCCCTAACCCTATATTCCCCACCCCCTTCCCTAACGCCCAAAACCCAACCGGCCCTCTCTCTCCCACTCTTCCCACCCCCTTCCCTAACCCCCCCAAATCCCCCTCCCTCCTCTCTCTCCCCTTCCCACCCGGCTGCCCTTAATTCCGCTGAACCGACCCAATCCCTCCCCCTCTCTCTCCCTCTTCCCCTTCCCCCTCCCCTCTCTCTCCCTCTTTCCTTACCGCCTTTCCCCAGTTCCCCACCCCTTCGGCAGCTCATCCGTCGAATGGACACACCGTAAGATACAGGGGTGGGAAAACTCCGCTCTTTGTAGCCTGCGCCTCCACCCACCGCCCCCCCTCATCTCTCTAATCCCTATCTATCTATATCTAGAATTTCTTGTCTGTCTATCTTCTTCGGTTTTCTATCTACTCTCTTCGCTTTCTATCTGTCTATCTCTTCGTTTCTATCTGTCCCTATTCTCTCGCTTATCTGTCTGTAATATTGTCTCTTCGCTTTATATCTTGTTCTATCATCTCGCTTTTCTGTCTGTCTATCTCTTCATCACTTTCTATCTATATGTCTCTGTTCTCTTCTCCCTCTCGCCTATATATTCTCGCTTTCTTTATAATCTGATCTCCGTTTCCATCTGTCAATCCTCTCAACTTTCTATCTCTCTCTTCCCTGTCTGCTGCGAGCGAGCGGCGAGGCGGCGGCGGGTTTCCTCCCCACTCTTCTCCTTCTCTCTTCCTCACAACTCATCCACTTTCCACTTCCTCCAAACCCACAGTATCCTACATGAACAAAATCATCGAACCTTCTTGAGCTCAAACCTGAATTGAACACACACAGACACACACAACACACCACACAACGAGGACACACACACACACACACACCACACACGCAAACATCAAACAACCACACAGGATGTCACACCACAACACATGACACAAATGATTGCCATGGGCACACAGAAGATCAGATAACAACACACAGACACAAAAAAAAAAAAAAAAAAAAAAAAAAAAAAAAAAATATATTATTATATATATATATATATATTATGTATATATATAATATATATAAATCGGAATATTGAAAGGCAACTCTAGCGATTTAATGAATGCACGATTCTAAAGAGAAATATGTCGAATTGATGATAACTGTCACGCTCATCAAGCTCACGTGTTTGCAGTTCAGGCGAGAGGAAGCGGTGGCGCGGGAGAACAGAAAGCAGGTTGCCAATGGCGACGCGGCGACTGAAGCCTCGAGTTACCGATTTTTTTTTTTTTTTTTTTTTTTTTTTTTTTTTTTTCGTCTGCTTCCCGAGTGTCTGTCTTCTGTGTGTTCTCGCAATTGTAGTTGTTTTGGGGGCGGAGTTCTTGTTTTTTTTTTTTTTTTTTTGAGGAGATGCAGAAATTAGATACGAAAAATTGGTGTTTTAGGTTTAGGTTTGATTATTATTTTTTAACCATACCTTGGACGGTCCAACACACGTCATCACGCACACACACGCCGCCTGCGCGCACACACACAGGTCCACCGCACCACACACACACACACAGGCACACACACACAACAGCACAGAAACACAACACATACACACGTTACTTAGAATAGCACACACCAACACACACACACGCCACACACACACACACACCAACACAACACACACAACAACACACACACAGGTACGCACACACACACACACACACCACCCGGTACACACACACACAGACACAGAACAACGCACACACACACACACACACAGACACAAAACGCAGCACACACTATCACACACAGGAACACCACACACACACACACAACACACACGCACAGCACACACAACATACCTGCGCGTGCCAAGTGTAATCTTCCGAGCCCAAATGAAGCGAAGATCCAACACTACAAAAGAAGAACATCTATTTTTCTTTAATTTTTATATTTTTTTTTATTTTTTTGTACACCATTCCCGTTTTTTTTTTTCTTTCTTTCTTTCTTTTAATTTTTTATTTTATTTTTATTTTTTGTACACCACTTCCCGTTTTTTTTTTTCTTTTCTTTTCCTCCTTTTTCTTTATAATTTTTTTATTTCTATTTTTTATTTTTTTGTACACCACTTCCCGTTTTTTTTTTTTTTCTTTCTTCTTTTCTTTAATTTTTATTGTCTATTTTTATTTTTTTTGTATCACCATTCCCGTTTTTTTTTTTCTTTTCTTTTCTCCTTTTCTTAATTTTTTGATTTCTATTTTTTATTTTGTACAACCACTTCCCCGTTTTTTTTTTCTACTAATATTTCTTTTTTCTTTTTTTTCCTTTTTTGTAACACCACTTCCGTTTTTTTTTTCTATATTTCCTTTTCTTTTTTTTTATTTTTTTGTACAGAGATACACTTCCCGTTTTTTTTTTTTCTCTTCTTTTTCTTCCCTTTTTTTTTTATTTTTTTACACCATTCCCCGCGGACTAAAGAGAAAATGATCTCGGGGGTCGTGATTTTGGCCCCAGTCGTGGGTGACCTGCCCCCTCCCCGCCCCCTCGGAACGGAACCAATCTGCGGTTTCGTTATCCCGCGCATTTTTCCCAGTTTTCTCGGTGTTTCTCGAGTCCTGTGCCTTTTTGTGCCTTTGTCTTTCTTCCCATTGGTCCCTATTTTTTTTTTTTTTTTTTTTTTTGTTTTTTTGGCATAATTATGGGACTGATAAACTGGGTAATTTTAATAATTTCAACATTGTTATCATTATCGATATTGTACTATCTTCAACTGTTATGAGTATTAAACTGGTTGTTATTTGTTATTGTTAGTATTATTCATTACATTATATTATTATACTATTATTTATTTGTTTTTTGTTATTATCGAGAGAAGCGCGGAGAGAGATTATCATTATTATTAATGTTCTGTTATTATCAATCACCATTAATTATTATTATATTATATTAATTATTATTATTATTATATCATTATTATTATTCTTGTATTTCTTATTTTCTATAACGGGTCTTATATCTTTATTTATTTCCATTACTCTTTAAGTCGAGCAATGCTTTTATTATAGTGTAGATTCCCCTTTCCTTCTACTTAAACATTCCCAACAGAAAACGACGCCTCTAAAACACAAAAAAAGGAAAGAATAGAAAAATCTCGCTTTGGTGTGCCCGAAATAAATCACCAAGGAGGACATTTTTATGTTTTTTCCAACGACAATATGGAAAAGATCGAACTTGCTTGCCCGCTGGCCCTTGGAACGAAAACACACAGAGAGCAGCACACACCACACACACACACAGGACCACACACACACACACACACAGCACACACACAAACACACCACAAGCGTGAGGAGCACACACACACACACAGGTCACACACACACACACACACACACACACACACAACACACACACAAACCCAAAAACAAAAAAAACTTTCGGTGATGAAGAAAAAACAAAAAAACAAAGAAAAGAAAAAGGAAAAAAAAGGAAAGTCTTTTCCCAAAGTGAATAAGTTTCCTCCAGGCAAGGAAGACGCGATCGCAAATGAAGAAAAAAAAAACAAAACACCCGGCCCATACGAACTGATAGGATAGGGCCTATAACGATCGATGATAGGCCTAACTCGAACATTACCCATCCTCCTCTTTTCAAACGGAAAACATATTCGAATCTTATGCCCAACAGACCTCAAGCGTCGACCGGAAAGTAAAAAAGGAAATTATAAACACCAAAGCAGAAAAATAAATAAAAATAAACACTAACACAGAATAAAAAATTATGAAAATAAACACTAAACAGAAATAAAAATAAAAATAAACACAAACACCAGAAAAAAATAAAAATAAAACAAACAGAATAGAAAAAATATAAAATAAACACTAACTGGCAGATAAAAAAATAGAAGATAAAACACAACGCAAGATTAAATATAAAAATACAGTTTAAACTAAAACATTAACAGTCACTCAACGCCTAAACAGGCCTTGTTAAAAAACGAAGGAACGTGGTTAGTGACCTTGGGAAACCTCCCCTCCCCTCCTTTCCCATCCCTCCTCCTCCTTCCCGTCCCTCCCCCCTCCTTCCCTCCCTCCCCCTCCCTTCCTCGCCTCTACCGCATCACCTCCTGTAAAAAATGGAACCATTTTCTTCAAAAGTTTAAGTAAACCAAGACGTGTGCTACAGCCATTGGGGACTAGTTTGTCAGCTGAACAGAGAGAGAGATTTACGTGGAGAAAGAATTAATAATCGTTTCTGATCTTTAATTAATGTCTTGTGTAAATGGCGAAAGGGTGTGCTGTTAAGTTTATAAAAAAAAAGTTTAATGTATTGTGGAAATATAAACATACACGTGGGCTTTGCTTTACTTTCATATATGTGTACATAATAATTAATACTACAACATAAAATACATGCAATTACATCATGAATATGTCCACACAATCATAAGCACAAAACACATAAACCGCTACTTGAAAAACATGACACACACGCAAAAAACACACACACGGCATTAAACAACGGCACACACAGAGCACACAACAACAACAACACAACAACACAACACACACACACACACACCACACACACACAACCACGACACACACACAACACACACACACACACACACACACACACACAACACAACACACACCAGATAAACCCTTTGCTCCAACACAAAACAGGCACATTAACACTTCACAGATACATTGCCCTGCCCTGCCCATCACGCCCCCCTTAAAAGCGACACCACTCACACGAATCAGTCTGATCCCGCAAGCCTGAATATAAGCGTTTTATTACAACCAGTAAACTTATTGACGATACTTGGTACCTATTATTCCCTGTGTATGTAACCATACTCTAGCTTATGTAACTCGTCATAATAATATTCCCTGTGTATGTACTATTACATATCTTAGGTGTAACCGTCATAATAATTAATTCCGTGTGTATGTACTATCAATAGCTTATGTAACCGCCAATAATACTTATTCTTTATACCACGTATCCCTGTGCTTTCCCTTGGGCGCGGACAGTGACGTCACGCCATTTCGTGTTTAACTCTTCTCGCCTGTTCCCCTCCCTCCTCCTCTCTTCCTTCTATCCATTTAATGTAGGCCTCCAAAGTGAAGACAGCTCTTTCAACAGAACCTAGAACTATCATTCGGACACGGGGAGACCAAAATTCCGCGCATCGAACCATTTTATTCCCGACTTCCCAGCTCAATTACCCCGGAGCCCTCGTCACCCTCCCGCGAGTTCAACCGGACTCCTCGTAATTTANAAATAAGGGTAAAATAACGAAACGGAAACAAAAGAGTAAAGCAAAAGTAAAAGACACAGTAAAAGGTAAGTAAAAGAAACTGTAAAAGGTAAGTAAAGGTAACAGAAAAAGATAAGTAAAATGCCCAGTAAAATGTAAGTAAAAGGTTAGTAGAAGGTACAGTAAAAGGTAAATGAAAGGCACAGTAAAAGGTAAGTAAAAGACACTGTAAAAGTAAAGTAAAAGTAAAAGGCACAATAAAAGGTAAGTAAAAGACACAGGAAAAGGTAAGTAAAAGGTAAAAGGTAAAAGGCAAGGTAAGTAAAAAACAGTAAAGGTAAGTAAAACGCACAGTAAAAGGTAAGTAAAACGCACAAAAGTAAAAGGCACAGTTAAAAGGTAAGTAAAAGGCAAGTAAACGCACAGTAAAAGGTAAGTAAAACGCAGTAAAAAGTAAGTAAAAGGCACAGTAAAAGGTAAGTAAAAGGCACAGTAAAAGGTAAGTAAAAGACACAGTAAAAGGTAAGTAAAAGGCACAGTAAAGATAAGTAAAAGGCACAGTAAAAGGTAGTAAAACGCTCAGTAAAAGGCACAGTAAAAGACACTGTAAAAGGTAAATAAAAGGTAAGTAAAAGAAACTGTAAAATGTAAGTAAAAAGAACAGTAAAAGGTAAGTAAAAGTTCAGTGAAAGGTAGGTAAAAGTTCAACATAAAAGTGAAAATCCGGAAAACTAAAAAGGCAAATACAGCAATAAAAATCAGAAGCGAGAGTTAAGTTCCCTTCATAAGAAAAGTCATATCTATGCACTGATAAAAGATTAAGAAAGACAAATTAAGCTTTAAAAGATCTAGCATTGAAAGTGAGCATCACTGGGCTTAAACTTCAGTCAGTTCAACTTCAGTTACTTGAAATGTTCTTAATTTCGTTGCCTTCAATTATGCTTGTCACGTCCAGCAATTTATATAAACAAAAGTAACAACACAAGTACAACCTTTGGTGTAGGTATTACCATTACAATTACATGCATTACCATTATTTCCTCATCGTCAACATCACCACTATCATTACTCACTTTTTTATGCAATGGGCAGCTGTCAGGATGAACCTATCACCGACGACAGCGCCCCCACAGATGAAGGATTCATCGTCGGTAACTAAAGCCTGGTATCCGTACTTGTGCGGCTCTGCCTCTTGGCCCCCCACGATGCGCTGGCCGGCTGGGAGGGGGGGTGAAACAGGGTCAGTCTTGAGTATGGAGAAGAAGTGAGTGTGTTGGGGTGTTGTGCGTTGCGTTGGGTGGTGTGTGTGAGTGTAGAGAGCATGGCGTGAAAGTGGCAGTTGTAATACGTATAATTTCCCATTTCAAATCATTGTATTTCGTATTTACTAATAAAAAAATCACGATTTTCACAATAATAACCACAAATAAAGCCATCGTTATCATGGCAAATTATATGCGTGGGTGTGTGTGTGTGTGTATATATATATATATATATATATATATATATATATATATATATATATATATATATATATATATATATATATATATATATGTGTGTGTGTGTGTGTGTGTGTGTGTGTGTGTGTGTGTGTGTGTGTGTGTGTGTGTGTGTGTGTGTGTGTGTGTGTGTGTGTATGTGCCTGCGCTTGTATATGTGGGGGTGTGCGTATGTATGTATGTTTGTGTGTGCGAATGTACGTATATATGTGTGCGTTCGTGTGTATGTGCATGTATGTAACCATGTACGCATGTATGTGTATGTATGTGTACGCGGAGACAGACACTTACTTAGAGGACTTCCTTCAGCAGCGACTTGGATCGGATGAAGCATGTCCTGGAAAATAAGTTTTATCACATAAGTTACAAATGATTACACACAAAGCATGCAACTTGTTATATAAAGCTGAACAAATAAGATTAATTTCCTCTAATCAGAGGCAGTTTAGACTGTACGGACGACAGTGGTTACGCTTCTCCCTCGACTTTTAAACGGTATAATCATTATTATGGATAGCGATTAATAAGAACAACTATTTATTTGTAGTTGGTAGAATATAAAATGTATTCCAAGCTTATAAGAAGAAAGCTACACTGAACATCAAAGATAATGTTTTCTTCCTAGATCTTCTCAACAATCTATGGCTATCTGTTCATCTGTACATTTTATAGCATTTTATGATTCTTTTGAAGAAGTTCATAGTGTTGAGGTCGCAGCCATAATCGCAACAGGATTTATCATAACTACCATATCAGTCAACTCAAATTTTGTTGAATTCCTATACACAACCATAACACACTGTAACAAACATCACAACTGATATGTAGTTCATCCCTTACAACAGGTTTACGGTAATTCAATTAATATTCGAGATGTGGAATGGAAGGGAAACGAGGGCCGGATCAGTAATAATATACCCTGTATGTGTAGATAAAAATGGCACACTGGTCCTTCCTCACGAAATCAAAGTTTTTTATATATCTTCATAATCACTTTTGGAATAGTAAAAGCCAAAAATAAGATCCGATTTTAGCTCATCACTGAGCATAAACTTCGTGTTTCCATCAGTGGTAAATGTACACATACAATGATAAACCATTTATATATCCACTTTTGCCTTCCTCGATCTCTATGTATTGAGACAGCGAAGAAGAAGAAGAAGAAGAAGAAGAAGAAGAAGAAAAACACCATCGGTTCGATTATCCGCTCCTAGATGGCGCAGCTACGAGAAGCATTTAAAAGTTCTTTCTGATTTTGCAAAGATTTTTACTGGATTTAGCTAACATACATAGATGTTTAATGTATCGTTTTCATATTCTAATGAATGTGCAGTTATAGTTTATACCTGCTGTGCTGATAGAAAAGAAAATGCCTCACTTTCGTTACGTGTTGCCATTATGAAAAAAAAATAAATAAATAAATAATAATTGAATTTGCGCTAAATAACTTCCCTACAAAATCAACGATATTAATGTTACATGTTTGATAAGCAAGAACTTAAAGGTAATACTCTAGTAAATTGCATGGGCCTTTCAAAAATAGTAATACAATTAGTTATTTCTAGCTGTTACTTTTTATTAAGATTTTACGCTATGTTTACATGAAAATGGCTGCCAGATGTACGACAGACGGACCCATCAAACCCACGAAATCTACTTGCAGAACTGTAACTTCAGGAGTTTGCCAAAGTGCATAGACGAGCCGTTAGCCTTGTTCAGTGCATCACACGCTGTACGAACCTCGCCAATTCGTACAATTAGTGATTCTACACAATCACTATAGACTGAATCACACTCACAAGATGTGTTCGGTCTGGAAATGTTATTGTTGGCGAATCGCGCCTCCCACAGGTGCGAGACGCAAAGCACTTTTCTCTATGTTCACGCAAAGAGAGTTCTGTAATGTGTGGAGTAAATGAAATGCTCTCACTTTCTGTTTACTTATTTGTCAGTACACATAGACAGAGAACAATGGTTGCATGGAATATACATGTACTATAACAAGATAGTTCCGCTGCCGTACACTCGTACTCCCAAGGACAGTCGCAGACAGACACGCACGCCCTGGGCAGCCGGCGCCCAGACCCTCGGGGTGCTGACCTCACACAAGGGCTCCGATCATTGGTCGTGTGACACACAGGACACGTGGACGGCACTGGCACCCATGCAGACGGAATCTTCCATTCACTAGGAACTTCCACTCACATATTATATCATTCATACATCTGTACTGTTGTCTTGCCACAACGCGCTTCTCTGAAGATTGAAACGACGAGGAAAACTCATGGGATGGAAATAAAGGAAGAAGATATCATTTGCTGTTTAAGGAACATGCAATGGTTTGGCACATCCTTGCACATGCACTCGCTATGTTGCATACGACACTCACGGAGCAAAGATAGATATCAACAAATCCACATAATAATGGATAAATTGGGTAACTTTAGTCAGTCGTAGGAATATGCGACTCCGAAAATAAGATAAATAAATAAAGATAAATAAAGATTCTTTGGCCACAACTATTATTCCTTGGTTCAAGGATTTTATTTCTGAAAACCTCCGACAGGCGGTCACATATTAAAAATAAAATATTGGGTGTTTTGACTTTTTCTAAGAGATACTGATTTAAGGAAACATGTAAGGAATCCAAAAAAAATCTGACAAATTTCTAAAAAAAAAACACTAAAAATTCCTCTCAGTATGAAGATATTGAATATTTCAAACATTTTACAGGAAACTTGGTGAACGTTTGGGAAGAAAGTGAAATAATTACGTATCTCTAACCAAAACTATCCACATTACGCAAGAAATCTAACAAATGTATCCGATATTTGTACATGCAGGCAGAAAAAAACTATGTATCGCTGTTTGAAATTATAGAAATATATTCTGTAAAAACAAATCTACATGTCTCCATAAGTAGACTCTAATTATTACGAAATTTGGGCACTATTATATGGTCTCTTTCGACAACACACAAGATTTTCAGTCTTGCAATCACCAAAATGCAACACCTAATCTATCTAATGAAAGTAACTTGACATTAGACAGCATTCAAATCCAGAAATACTCATTTCCCAAAGTGGCACCTCAGCCGCGGCAGAAGCGCGAAGGGCTGCAAGAAGGAAGACTATTGTCGGCACATGTTTAAAGCAAAAGCCGTGACAGAGTGAGGCTCGTGAAAGACAGTTTAGAAATGCACAGATGATCTGCTGACGGAAGCACATCGTTGCATTGGGAACACGAGGGAAGAAGAGGTGACACAAGCTTGCAATTCCTAGCAATGGTGTAACTGCTTCCTTGTTTTGAAGCATTTGCGTTTAAGCCGGGAGAGAGAGAGGAGAGAAAAGAGAAAACAAAAGAAATAATCACAAAAACTGTGGTTGTGAGTTCTAACGTAATTGAGAATGAATGAGAGTGAGAGTAAGAAAGAGAGAGAGAGAGAGAAATTATATATATAAATATATATATTATATATATATATATTATATATATATATATATATATATATATATATACTTATGTGTGTGTACATACAAAAATATATGTGTGCGTATGTTTGGATGTTTGTCTCTGTGTCTATGTTCAGACACAAAATCACGTATATATATATATATATATATATATATATATATATATATATATATATGTTGTCATCGACCTGGAAGCCTTGCTGTGGTGAAAGCTATCCGAGTTTTTGACCCTTACATCCATGGTCGACGGTTCGAAGTTTTGGACCGATCACCAGCCCTTGGTTGAGTTTTTCGAGGCGCACAAAGAGCACCGTCTCAGTCAGTATGCCTACGAGCTTGGGGGCTATGACTTTGTGCTTAAGTATAAGGTTGGGGCCAAGCACCACGTGCCAGACCTTTTCGCGACCTGCAGGTAATGGACCTCCACCTGCGGAGAAATCTTTCCCGCTAAAGCAGGCCCAAGAGGCATGTGAGGATGCTGCAGACCTGTTGGACCTCACCAGGATGACGGCTGTGCGGATGAGGGAGCACCAGCTACAAGACCCGGCTCCACTGGTGAGGGTCTCAGCCTTATGGACCTGCAGGGATCAGCAACAGGGTTCCGGTATGACCTGTCCATTGTGGATCACCATACTCAGTTCAAACAGCTGGTTCCACTGCGTGACAAGAGTGCCACGGACAATGGCCTGGAGTTTTCCTCTGATGAGTGGCGCTCGCTTCTGAGGCATTACAAGTGCAGCGCTCTTTTCAGTGGCTTATCACCCCCAGTCCAAGGGGTGGTAGAGTGCACCAACTGGACAATGAAGAACGCATTGGCGGCGCTGGCTAGGCAGGCTCATTCACAGTGGCCCACTCATCTGCCTGCTGTGCGCCTCGCCCTGAACTCAGCCATCCACCAGGCTGTGGGGACCAGCCGTTGTACTTGCTGACGGGTCGTATGGCGCTCTTTGGGAAGGGCCTGACTAACCGCCAGACTGTGGACCCGGACTTGACTTTGCCACGCCTTGCAGACGCCTGTCAGCTAGCTGTTGAGGTGAGCAGGAAGATGCGAGAGACCAACAAGGCCCAGTATGACCAGGCTGCTCGCACCTCAGGCCCTTACGAGGAAGGCGCTCTGGTCCTTCGAAAGATCCAAGGGAACCGTGGACCTTTGGGTGATCGCTGGCTTTGTCCCTGCCATGTACAGAAGCGGTAGGCCCTGTTAGCTATGATGTTCTGGACCATCGACCCCACACCGTGCTGTCAGAGTCCATGCTAACCAGATGCGCCCCTTACATTCCAGCCACTGCAGTGGACTTCCTTGAGGACGACCAAGTGTTGTGCATGTGAGTGACGCGCTTTTGTAAACTGAACTCTGAAATTATTTCTGGATAACTGAATCAAACTATATTGCGCCCTAACCTCTTGAGCTTTGTACGATGTGTTACTTTTGGATATGTTCTTGGGATATTTTTACTAGTCTGTATTTTGATATTTTTATGTTTTTCTATTTTGTTGTTCTTTCAGTTATGCCGTTTTTTATGATTTTGAATTTCTTTATACACATTGTTTTGGGGCACTGGCACTTCCGGAGGTGTGGCGTTCTCCGTTCCGGGGGAGGGGCTGTAGAGTTACGTATTTTTGTTACACGAACGCGCCCGGATTCATTGGATTTGTGTATGCGAACGGGTGATGCTCGTGTTACCCACTTAGGGTGCTCACGTTTATTTTTTTATACCTTTGCTGACGCCCTTTAGCAAGCCCTCGCACATCTTCTAAACACCCCACCTCCAGAAGGATTTATTGTAAGTTTTGGGTCCGTTAGACCACACTCAAACCTCTTTCAGTTTGGGTACTTGGCAACTCTCGCTCTGACGCACAGCGGAGTCGCCACAGAAGGTAGTTGGCGGCTAACCTTGACTGTGAAGAGATATGAGTGTGGGCTGGGGAGGACTCCTGATTCCTGATTCTCGTGTACTGTGATATTTTGTGATACTGCGATGCTACTTGTTACCAGCGATTTCCTGTGTCTCCTCGGTGATTCGAGGCTGTAGTAGCAATAGTGTATTTTGTAATAAAGCCGTTGCATGAACAGCTGTGTATCTCCACTCCTGTAGGAGGTAGTTACGGCCGGTTTTCCCCCATGCCCATACCCACATCTTATTCACGGTTCGAGGTTTACTCGTCTGCTCCTGTAGTAGTGTGAGTGTCGGTGCCACTACATCTTAACCACGCTACAGATTGAATGACGCAGGTGATGCCCTCTTCGCCAGCACAGACAATCGAGACAGAAGCGCAAATGCGTTCATGTGTGACTATATATAGTGCATAATCCGTAGGGTATATCATACAACGTGAGAAATACATACAAGTCCTATAGCTCCATTTTATCTAAATATGTATAAACACAAGTATATTGTACATTTGCTTAAAACTGTTCAAGATTTATCCGTACACGGGGGCGGGTGTGTAGGTCGGGGCAGGACTGTAGGAGGGGGCAGCGTGGTAGGCTGGTACTGGGCCTGCCCCTCGTAGCTGACCTCGGCTACGTAGCCCGAGTCGCCGTTGACGTAGTAGGTGACCTTCTGCAGGCGGCCGTCGGGGAGCTGCACGTAGTAGGATCCTTGGGTGTTGTATCCGTCGCGGTCTTCGTTTGGCCGAAGTGGTTGGCGGAGTAGGAGTCCCTGACGCCCCACTCGAAGTCGTACTTGGCTGGGGCCTGCTGGGGGAGGGGAGTGCTTTGTCAGCCTGGCATAGAAATGCATATACCGCACTTGGATATTTGGTTCATTCTGCGACTTTCTGCAAATAAAAACATGCGAATACAACTACAAATTGACCTGATAAGAGGGAGCTGGCCTGTAGAGGGAGCGGGAGCATAGGTTGGAGCAGGGCGGTAGGTGGCAGGGGGACTGTAGCCGTACTGAGGCTGGCCACGGCGGCAGATGCCACGACGATTAACAGAAGAACCTGACGAAAAAAATATTTTCTGTTGCATAGGGGATGGGATATATACCATGAATCATTGTATTTTCTTACGTCAAATCAGATTAGTGTGTTCACTAAAAGATTTGGTCATTGGTAATAACAGTCACTGATAATTGATACTTAAGTAAAACACTAGATCACTGTTGGTTATTCTAGTATTCAATTGCAATCTGAAAGCCAAAACTTTACCTTCATGGTGTGTTACGTCCACAGAAGAGACTGTCTCTGCTCTCTCGCCTCGGCTCTTATATATCCGTCCATCGGCTGCAACGTGACGTCACGACCGGTCCGGGAACCGTGAAGGAACTCGCGTGAGGCAGTTGCAAGGGGGTAGGGGTGGCGTGGGGGGGGTGATTGAAGCTGGGTCAAGGTCAAACACCTCAGCTCACACCTGATAACCTGCCATGACCTGCTCCACGATCCTTTACGCTGGACGGCTTCGTGGGACAAGAGCACGAAAACGTTCTCAGCGAAATTAGCCAAACGTTGCTCCGGTTTAAACGGACACTGAACTTACCAATGGAAAGAAAAATTTAAACATCTACTTATGTTTATGCGTAGTTGAGTTACATGCAATTATGTGAGAGGGAGAGGGATGAAAGACTATGATTTTGACTTTGTTTACTGAAATAAACGTTTATCAGAGGAAACGTTTACATCTCAAACGTATACCATCGTCATCTCCATCATAAGAAGTCCTTGGGCTCTAATATGCCACACAACGCTCTGGTATGTTAATTGATGTGACTGTCCAGCTCTTAATATAGGAAAATGCAGGTATACAGTCAGGAATATAATCAGTGATTTGCATGTTAGGAATACGATATAACGCGATAAATTCTCACCTTCATCTTGATAAGTCACTTCCTTCATAATCACCCACAGCATACATAAAACATATTTGCGTCAAACTATTATGCTTCAGATAGATAGAGTAGATCACATTGTAAAAGAAAGAAAGAAAAAAAAATGTTTTCATCTCCAAATCATGTTTAAAAATAAGAAACATGCTCATGTTCATTACAAACCCATTCAAACCATTGCATTCTCAGCAGGAGTAACAGCCTACATAGCGGTGAGCATTCACCATTATTGATTCTATATTCCTGTACCTATTTAATGTTTCGCATACATGTCCATTTCCGATCATCCATACAGCCTGCTCAGGTTCATCTGTTTGAGAGAAAAGATAGTGAGAAAGCGTTGGAGGGGAAAGGGGGAAAAAGAATAAGTAATAGGTAGACAAAGGACAGAGAGAAAGAAAGAAAAAAAAACAAAACAAAGAAAAAATATCAAGCTCGAGGATTTTTTTTTAATGAATATTCCAAGGCAAAACTGAAAACACACTTAGAAGTTATCCTGGCTTGGATTTAACCCATCTTGCCTGACCAAACGAGGAAGCGATGTCAGCCGCGCTTGCTGCGAAATTGCCGCCGCCTCCAGTTATTGCAGTAAAAGTTGACAGCTGCCATGGAATGTTTTGCATATGGAGCGTGTGCTTTTATGAATATGTGCAGACATTCATACATGTGCGAATCTATAGATCTATAAATATATAAACTTAAATATCTATTTATGTATATGAATATATATTAACACATGTGTACACACATTAACACACACATATATGTATATATATTTATATACATACATATATCTATATACTCAAAGTCTTCCTGAATATTCTAACTACAGACTTCTAATGAGAGAAATATAAAGGATTAGTTCAGTCTCGGCAAGTCAAAACCTAATTATAAATCAACGAAGCCAGTATTTCCCTCTATTCAAGAAAAGTTATGAATAATTTTTTTTTTTTTTTTTTTTTTTTTTTTAAGCGTTTGAGATGTATTTGACGCGTCTCAATGAACTCCATCGGGCTGTGTCTCTTACGCTGTGAAGATATTTATTCTCATTTATTATTTATGTCGGTTACATTCGTCATTGGTATTTGACTCTTCCCCTGAGGTAGTCTTGGGTGTTGGGGTAAGACTGTTGCATTGCTTCAAGTATGATTTTGTTCGTAGAATGTTCCTTTATGGATACCAGCAAATCTGCATTTCCTGGCTGTATCAGTTAACAAAGTTTCACTCCCCAAAAAGGGTCAAGCGGAGAGACGTCCACCGTGGTTGCCGATCACGCAGTTGCAATGAATTTGTATGTTTATACATACATACACGCACACACACACACACACACGCACACACACACACACACACACACACGCACGCACACACACACACATACACGCACGCACACACACACTCACATATACATATCAAATGGAAAAGTGGTCTTGCATATATGTATGTTCGTATTCTCATCCAGATATCCATAGAATTAATCTATATTGAGAATAAGCAAACAAAGAACTAGATTAAAGACATAACAAATGGGATCAAAACGAAATGGTTTTTAATCTTTGATTTATATAAACATAAGGATACTGTACATTCGCTTAAAACTGTTCAAGATTTATCCGTACACGGGGGCGGGTGTGTAGGTCGGGGCAGGACTGTAGGAGGGGGCGGCGTGGTAGGCTGGGTACTGGGCCTGCCCCTCGTAGCTGACCTCGGCTACGTAGCCTGAGTCGCCGTTGACGTAGTAGGTGACCTTCTGCAGGCGGCCGTCGGGGAGCTGCACGTAGTAGGATCCTTGGGTGTTGTATCCGTCGCGGTCTTCGTTGTGGCCGAAGTGGTTGGCGGAGTAGGAGTCCCTGACGCCCCACTCGAAGTCGTACTTGGCTGGGGCCTGCTGGGGGAGGGGAGTGCCTCTGTCAGACTATTGTATAGAAATACAATATATAATGCAGCAAAGCAGATCAGTATATTTAAGCTTAGAAATAATATGGATAAAAAACAAAAACATATGCATAGAAATGCATATACCGCACTTGGATATTTGGGTTCATTCTGCGACTTTCTGCAAATAAAAACATGCGTATACAACTACAAATTGACCTGATAAGAGGGAGCTGGCCTGTAGGAGGGAGCGGGGCATAGGTTGGAGCAGGGCGGTAGTGGCAGGGGGACTGTAGCCGTACTGAGGCCTTGGCCACGGCGGCAGATGCCACGACGATTAACAGAAGAACCTGACGACAAAAATATTTTTCTGTTGTTGCATAGG